GAGAAAAAAAGGTCGCCAGCGCCAGAAAGCTCGTGTTGCGCCGCGAGAAGGAGCTGAAGGAGAAGGACTCTGCTTGTGAGTTTGCCGTTTCATCATCACCTTTGCAATTTGCCGCTCAATTTCTGAGATGCTTACGCGCATCTCCTTGTGACTTGCGGGCGCAACAGCTACTACGACGGTGAAATCCAAGTGAAGCCTTCCACGTACGCGCGCATCGCGCAGACCCAACCCCCCGCGCACATTTCTACGCGCCTGTCCAAAGCCTATGCATCCATCCACCCCTCCTCAACCATGCAAAGACTCTTGCATTCACATTCTCGTTTCACGTTCCCTTAGTCTCCTTCGTTTGAAATGACATGTTACGATTCGCGGCATGCATGAGCGCGGCGCGCGGGGGCCACCTGAGCCTCTGCATCAAACGAGTCGCAAACACGAGTCTGAATGAGGTGCACGCTACACTATGTGCAAGCAGCATACGATGGTGTGACAAGCTGCCGCGGCGGCAAAATGGCGCGCGCGAGCGCGGGGACATTCACACGACCTCGCGCATTATGGCAGCGTGAGTCGGATGCGCGAGATTTGATGGGTCGCGAGTGAAATTGAAAGTGGAGCGCGATTTGCCTGCCCTACGCGGCCATACGAAGGTGACCACTGGCTGCACGTATGCGCGTGTATCACACCAACTTCCAATCTTGAACCATTCCTTCATCGCTTTAACTCTCCACTCGTCATCTGGCGCACGGCAACACTTTGATCTCCCCATTGTTTATTCTCGCTTGTCCACGATGCTTCATCTCACACTGCCTACATCCAAATTCTGTTCGCATTCTCGGCTGATGAGCAGCTCAGCGCAACACCAGATCGAAATATCTCCTCGCAGTCGCTGCATCGCTAATGTTGCATCAGGCGCCTAATGTTGCACTCGCTTCCTGAGCAGCCCATGCCTATCACGCAGAACCTGACAGCCTTTTATAGACACTTACGTCTTAAAAGCAGCAGCCAGCAGCCAGCAGTCCAGAACATCCTACTCGTAGATCTGACAGGAGTCTAAGCTGCACAGCATGACACGCATCCAAACGCCTCACCTGAGCACCCTTCGACAGATCGACAAGAGTGACAGTATTATGCAAAACAATCCTGTGTGAAGAGCGTATCCACGCGCTCAAGGGACACTCATGCTCTTCGAACTTGCAATGCTGGGTCGGGGACAGCACACGCGGCAGTGAAGGACATTGGCGGTTTCCGCGCAAATTTTTCGGCCTATGCGCCACACGAGACAGAGCCGAGGAGGCCTGATGGGCTCAGAATGTGCACAGCTAGGCTGGAGAGGATAGGGGAGTTGATAGGCAGGAAGTCGCGACCGCATCACATCACCTTTCACCGGAGACTTGGACCCCTCGACTCCAACAGCTTGCCATCCGCGCCGAGCCCTTTTTACGACTGGGACTTCGAGCAGGGCGGGAACAGCAGCAGACCGGAACGTTGGCGAGAGGAAAAGACAGAATGTATGCAGGCGGACTCTTAATCCGAATGGGCAAACCAGCCACCGATGCTATCTTGCGCCGAGAGCTGGAGGCCAAAAGTCACAACTTGCTTCGGCTACCCACTTAGTCTCAAGCTAAACATCACCCAAAGGTGCTATCCTCGACCAGTCCGAGGCGTTCGCATCCATCCATCTCAGCGGGACCACGCTGAGATTGCAGCTCTCTTGCGCTTCTATCCCTCTCGAGCAAGCAAAATTGACAGCTTTGGTGCATGAGGAACGGCTGCTGAAACCGACTCTACAGGCTGAAGCTCCGAACTCGCTGGAAGTCAGACTTAATATCGCGGAAGCCTGTCCCAGCATCCGCGCGGTGTCACTGGAGGTGGAGGATGGGAGGTTTACTTCTCGAGCATCGATGGAGTGGCATGTAGTCGGATCTGGCAGGATTTGCCGTCCCTCTACCACTCGCTCATTCAACCTCATGCGCCTCGTTCGGGCACGGCAATTGCGCTATTCCGGTCGAGGACGGCCCA